ACTGAAATACATTAAATACTTTCAAATACAATAATTCATTTTCAGAACTATTTATCTTGGCGTAATAGTGCTACTCGTAGCTTTCCCGGTAATGTCAACATGAGTTGTCTGTGACTAAATGTAGGGTGTTTCGCAAAGTGCTCTCTATCTGAATGAAATGAAACATAAAGGAAGCGGCGATCGATAGAAGAACTTAAACGATCGAACTATATTTATCGGGAAAGCTTCAAAAATCTGAAACAGAAGTTTCAAAATTAGCTACAAATGTTGTCAATAGAGTTCGAGTTACGATGTAACAATTAATTACGAATGTAGTCAAATCCGGAACCCTATAAAGAGTGCTCTGAATCCCAGTACGAACCATAGACTAAGGATTATAGGATTCGTATCATAAGCGTATGGTTTCCATTCAAGATCCAATGCCGAAGAACCATAAGAGGTCGCGATAAACGACAAAGAGAATCGACTCGCCATGATTTATGGCAATGGCTTTTGCTGCAATTAGTAATTCACACATGAGGCCCACTTTTACTTAGAGGGTTTTATGTACAAATAACACTGGCATTTATGAGGTACCAAATATCCGCATTTCTGTCAAAGACGACTGCTACATTCCCCAAAAGCTACCGTTTGGGCTGCGGTATCCAGCAAAGGTATCATTGACCCTTTTTTCTTGGTGGGAAGCAATTACTATTGACAGGAAAAATTTGTCGCCACAATAACAAGCGTTGGCTGATCGACAAGGCATTTTGTAGTTTATACAAGATGGAGCCATAACACACCATGCCCAAGCCGATTCCGCTTTTCTTTAGATATACTCTAGTAATAGAGTTATTGCTTCGAACTATTCCACATTTATTGAAGTAGGCATTGATTGGCCTCCGTACTCTTCCTATTTTCCCCCCGGCGGCTACTTTCTTTATGGTACATTGAAAGATATTATTTTCTGTAGCAGCCCTGCTACACTGGACGATTTTGAAGAGTTGATATGCCTGTTGTGTTCCGTTGGCACACAACAGAGGATGACTGCTAACTTCATTCTTGGTTTGCGCCATCCCTGGGCTATGCACAGTTAACATTTTGAATCGACGTTGATGTGACTGTAACAGACTTTGTGGATTACGTAATTGATGAAAGGGGTTACGGGTCATTGGAGCCGCAGGACCCACCACCAGTAAATCTGACAGATATGGCTTGATGAAGATGGAAATTATACCTGTTAGTTAACGACTGATTCGAAAGGACAGTTTCACCACTATTTATAGCCTATTTTTCGGGCTCCGTACCGTGCTAAATGCATAATGCACAATCTCTCGAAAACATTTATGCTTAAAATCGAAACTTCTGCATCATATTTGTGCTGCTTTTCCAATAACCTTTTGTTTCATTGTTTTATTGATCACTGTTTCAGAGTTCTTTCATTTCAAATTTACAGAGTCATTTCGTGAAATATCTTGTTAGTATACTTCTGCTTTTACTACTAATATACTCAATGTACGAGTTGTTGTTTCGTCTTTATTCTGGAACTGATTTGTCTCTGAAATAAATGTTTCCTTTTCGATCTAGTTGTCTGGTCACGTTCAACTGAAATGCAAGTACCGTGTCAATGGAAGTTCTGCTTTTGTTGAAGAATATAATTGGAATCGAGTGTAAATCGGGGTTTAATAATGTACCTATTAGAAATGTGAATTAATTTTAAGGGACTTTTTGCTAAAACACAGATTTATTGTGAAAAAAGTGGGTACAAATCGTTCATTCAAAATATTGTCCATAGCTAGCCACTAGTTTTCCCCACCTTTCTAGTAATAGGTGGATTCCACGTCGAAAGGACGACACATCTTTAGAGGCTATCCACCGAATCGACCCATTTTTTGATATCCTTATAAGAATGGAAGCGCTGCTCAGGCAAGCCATGAACCATTGATTGAAAGATATGGTAACAGGAAGGAAGAATTTCTGGAGAATATGGCGGGTGTTGTAGGACATCCCAGTTAAGCGTATTTAACGTTACCTTGACCGATTTCGCAATATGAAGCCAAGAATTATAATGATGGAAATAATATTTCAAATTAAGAATTCAAATTAATTATCAAAAAAAGCTTGTTTCCCTCGTCTTCAAACGTTTTTTGGCTGACCTGGACGTTCCCTATCTTCCGTGTCTTTTCGCATAATCTGGCCATTTTTACTTCAATGCTCGGCTCATTTGCATCATTTGTTGTTGGTATTGTTCTCCAGTAATGGTTATTTGGGTTTAGAGCAGCTCGTAATATACTGCACTCATCCGATCCCACCAAATATATAGCATCCTCAATATTCAGCTTTGCCGTCGATAGTTCGCCTTGCCTGCCCCATGAAATTTTGAGCTTCGGATTATCATAGAGTATCCATTTTACATAACTCTTAACGAAATGATGCAAAAATCTTTTTCTTCTGTGTCTTTGAAACAAAAATAGACAGGTCATTTTGCGCCTTTCAACGTCCCTGGGATTCAACTCATATGGTTCCCGATTTTCTTGCTTTCAAATCATTCTAATGGCCTTTAAACGTCTTTAAATCGTATATCGATCAGCATTCAATGATTCTGAAAGTTCTTCTTTCGTTTGACTCGGGTCTTTATAAAATAAATCTTGTTTCCCTCGTCTTCAAACTTTTTTTGGCTGGCCTGGGCGTTCCCTATCTTCCGTGTCAAAATCACCTTTTTCATAACGTTTAAACCAGTACTCACATGTTGAAACTGATGGAGCGTAATTACCATAAGCTTCCGGAAGCATCCGTTGGTTTTTAGCAACGCTTTTCTTCAAATGGAAACAAAAGAGTAAAGTTTCTCACAATTTGCGTTTTGGTGGCACAAAATTCGACATATTCAGTGCTAAAAGAAATCTTTTACATTTCGACAAAATAACACATACTGAAAACTAAAGCTACGTGATGATGCTTTAACATGAAGTTAGCAACATTATGTTCTGATGCGATATACTGCCAATTACACCATCTCTTAAAATTCCCTTAACATTAATTCACACTTCCTATATTGGCTTAACGATTGAACAATATTGTATTAAAGAACACAGAGCACTTCAAACTTATTTGTTTTATTTTTCAGACCTCAATGATTTCCTCTACGTTATAGATTAAATTATTAATGAAAAGAAATGATCACTCACTGAAAAACGAAAATGTTATTAACTATAACTTACACTTCTTGTAACAAAACTTTGCAAATAACAGAAACTGAACTCTAACCATCTATTATTTTTACTACCATTTTTCTTATATTATTTTCATATATCGATTTAAGTATTCAAATGTCAAAGGTTTCTGAGATCATATTAATGAGACTTGTTTAGCTTCTTTTATGCTGAAAGAGAGAAAAAATAACCGTCTAAACAATATATAACCCTTGATTGGCTTCATTTTTATTCTTTTGACATTCGTCTACTTCACTTCCACTTATCTAAGAATAATTAATTTTTGAATAATTTATCTTCTGGTCTTTGCTTTTTAGAAGATTATTCGTTCAAAGGTCATTATGAGAGAGGATGATAAAGACTAGACGTCTGAATGCAAATGGTGGCTTGCAGAAGTTTACACGATTTAAATGCTCTTATTTTTGTGGTTTACTTTTGTTTCTGTTACGAAGAACGTTTTTTGACTTGCCCTATTTGTAGGGTTGTCATACGTCCCATATATAAAGACTGTCACCGCACTACTCAGTCCTGTATTATTATTTGTCCCGTTTTCTCCCTAAACTCTGCGTCATTGTAATTTTAAAATGACTTGGACCCAATTTTATAATTATGGGAAAGAAGAAAATGATATAATTAAGAAAGTAAAATCAACTTGAAAATATCACTGGGTCTCGCATCTTTTTTATTATTCTACATGCTCATTTTATTAGATTGCTTATTTTATTGATTGTTTAATCAGAGTAAAATAAACCATTACCTACTCACTTTTTTCATGTTTTATTTATTTAGCACTTGAACGTCCCGTATCAATGCTTGGCAATTATGGCAACCCTACCTATTTGACACAAAAGCTGTTTGATTGGCGAATTTAGTAATCATGCAAATCAGGGCTTTCTAAGCTTTTCTCATTCGCGACCCTTTTTTCCAAGTTAGAAATTTTCGCGACTCTTTATTAATTTTCTCTTTTAAGAGAAAGTTCTGTAATAATAATAAAAAAATTCGTTCTCGAGTTTTTGATGGACCTAAATGTTTTATATTTCCTTGAGTTTGAAAAGCATTATTTTTTATGTCTGTCTGTGAGCACGATAACTCAAAATCGCAATAAGCTAGACGAATAAAATTTGATTTATGGTTTTTAAATCTAAATTGCAGAATTTATATCAAATTTTGGAGAAAATCCATCAGCGGAAATTCTTCCTGTGCGTGCAAGTGCGTAGGAACACACATAAAAACGCAACAATCTAGATGGATGGTATTTGGCGAATGATTTTATTGCCAGAATCGCAGCTACATCAAATTTTAGTCCGGATCCGTCTACTGTCTGACTGTCGGTCTGTCGATGTATTTGTGTGCATGTGGAAACAACGACTCAACAAGTTAACAAAATGAACTTTGGTATGTTGTCTGGTCAGAACGTTCGGCTCTGGGCTCTTCCCTTTTCGCTCGCCGTTACTCAGGGAATCCCTGTTGGTTTCTTTTCCTCCGCTTATTTATATGCTTAAATTCAGCGGGTCATCTCGTCTGATCTGAGGTCATCAATAATTTAATTCTATAGACACTTAATAGTCTATGTAGGCTCTCGTCCCCTATTTTTGGTCTTCTTAGCATCAAACCGTCTCGTCTTGTGGAGAAACGTTGTCCGTCTTCTCCGAGCTACGAGCATGCACTAGGGCTTGTGCTCTCTCGACCGGGGAGGATCCTATGAGCACTTGAGCCTACAAAATCCACGAGGGACTCTGACACTGCCAATTGGAAATGTTATTTCCTTTGCAAGTCTTATCCGACCCTCAAACAGGCGAGGCTCCGAGGCCGCAATGAATCAGTGTTTATGTGTCTTGCAATTCACACCAAATCTCGCAGCTGGCTGCGTTCTTTATCGACCTGTGAGCCGAGTGATCGACTGCTTAGAGTTGTATTAAATTTATTGGCCAATCGTTTCCGAAAGGTCGTAGTGCGTTCGAGACACTTCCACGAGGGAAGCGACGCCACGGGGCGGTGTGCAAGTCTGCACATCTCTTCAAACCTAGCACATGAAAATTGTAGATCTGTATCAAATCTACTGCATAGGTCAACCGGAAATGGTCCAAAATCAATCCAACTCGATATTCGTCACTGTACGACGAAGTTAAATACAAAACGCGTTATAGTGCGGGAGTATACGAGAAAGTCGAAGGGAGAATATTCCGGCTGTTTCGTTTGTCAACTTTTGTCATGACCCCACAGCTGAGAAATAACTATGAAAAACTGAGTAGTAAATAATGATAAACAAAAATAAATTAAATTTAACACTCTAAGCGTTTTGCAAGCCTTTTTCCGTTTCTCATATTGAGTTCAAAAGCCTATAATTCATGCTTATGTGTTTAATTTCTTATACTATTGTCCCAGGAGATTTACAAGAAACGGGAAAAGTGACAAACTTTAAACTCATAGTAAACTTCTTTCAGTATGTCAACGTTAAATGAAACTACTAAATTATACTACTGAATAAAATATTCTTAAGATTTCAGAGACTTGATTAAATGCAATAAAGATCCAATTATTCATTTTAAAAGCAAATTTTTAAGATTTTAAAGCAAGTAGATCAAAGTAACTAACCTCTCAGAGGGTTAAAATAGTTATTCAGCAATTTTTTTGAAATAGTATAACCCTTTGGATCCGACTTTTGCATGATTAAAATTTAACTATGTAAAGTTGTTTAATTTAATGTTGATATACTGAAAGAAGTATGCTATGAGTTTAAAGTTTTTCACTTTTCCCGTTTCCTGGAAATCTCCTGGGACAGTATGTCCCAATCGTATAGTCGACTGGGATTATTCCAGTAAAATATCTGTAAAACTCTCTTTGCTGCCATAAGAGTAGTATGTCAGGGAAACAACTTTACAGCTTCGTAACAATTATTTTATAGTAATTTGATGACTGATGGGATATATTGTCCCAATTTTTATTACGATTAGGACACTATATCCCACAAAAAAGAATTTATACAAAATTTCTCAAATGTGTTATTAAAAAGTCTAAATGATTATTTATAAGAACAATAAGAACTATTTTACACTAAGTATGATATAAATACAGTTGTACTTGCTTTAAAATTAAAAAAAAGGGACCAATTGAAACTTGAGAAATGTGCGTGCTCAAAAACAAAAGTTCGCCATTTGCAATATAAGAGTGTTTCCAAGTTTCTTTAATCTATCCCCCCCCCCCAATTCCTTAAGAACACTGAAAACATAAAAAACAATGTAAAATTGGGATTTATTTACCGTTAGGGAATGAAGTCTAATCTTCGGGTATTTATATGCCCATTAGCACCGAAAGGCTTAAGCAAAGGTTGTATTCGTTATTATTTCTCTATAAAAATAATGGATTTTCTGGAAATGTAGCAACAAGAAGGTATGTGACTACCTTCGGAGCACTTTTTTTCAAATTTTTAAATTTTTAATGAAACATTCATGTTTTTAATTAAAATGAGTTATAAAACTGAGAATTCCAATACAATTTCATTGGAAATTTCATTCACTTTCAAATTATAGGCAATTTTTAGCAAAATTTTAGTGAAAATTTGCACTTACGCCAAACCTCCTATAAGAAGATGTATTGAATATATTTCATCAATATTTGCACAGTATATAGCTAACACGCTTATCTGTGTTATGAACTAGGATATTTTTAATACCTCGAAAGGTGTTGGAGATATTCCAAACTTTGCGAACAAACTCGAATTTTTTAAAAAAAATCATCGATTTTTCTCACTAAAAAGTCAATAAAATAAATAAATATAGGCAGAGAGCTTAGATTCTAGTTCATAACATAGCTAGACACAAATAAAACATTTTGGCCAAATTTCATTTTAATATCTTAAAAACATTTTCCAAAATTATGTTTGCCGCGTAGAAAAATATCGAAAATTCCAATTTCTCAGAAAACGCTTTTAAAGGTTTTCATAGAGTACAAAAAATTTTGTACACATCTTAGAATCTTAAAAAAAACTCGCCATATTTACAAGTCAAACCCTCTTTTACTTGATTTTAAACGACTTTTGTGTTCTTTCAGCTTTTCAGATTTTTTCTGAATAATTTTGTATAGTAGATAGTTAGTGGCGTCTCGATATCTGAATTAGCTTTTTGTCAATTTTCATGTAATTTTTAAGCATCTATGGATAAATTTACATTTCAAAACACATGAGAACAGGTAACAGTTCAAAATAAATGGAATTAAATTATAAAACAGCAATATGAGCGCCAAAAAGTAATTTTTATTGTTGTAATTACTGTTGTGTTGTATTTTTTTAAAAAAGTGTCGCCAAAAACCAATAAAACAATAAAAATAAGAAATTGAAGCTTAAATCTATGTTTTTAGACAATATATTGCTTGAGAATTTAAATATAGTTGTTCAAACTAATTGTTTGTATTTTTAAGGCTCTTTTAATTGCCACTTCCGGTATCAGAATTGTCACTTCCGGTTATTATTTATACTATAACTTTATTTGTAATTATAGCAGAAACAAAAATAAAGCATTTTTAGATGCCTAAATGTATGGACTACAAAATAAACAAATAAAACAAATTTCGAAAATTTTCTGTAAAACGAGGAATTTAGGGTAGTCACATACCTTAAACCATGAATGAAAGTGACCCAAACCAATATTTTAATGAGTTGAATTCATTCTCTTTGCAGGTGACAAATTGAACGAAGCAGAAGTTGAGTCATTTCTTTCAACAGTAGTGAATCCTTTCAGAGACAAAATTGAGTACGGGAAAATTTGTGAAAAGTTGGTAGTTCCCGAAATCGTCGATATTATTCATAATAAGCAGAAGATTCTTTCAGATGTAAAGCACGACATTTAAATTTTTTTCTGATCTATCAAGAACGAAGATAGCAAAATTTAAAACTGAATGACTGTCAAATATGTTAAAATAATGTTAACTTTGCACTTAGATTTGTCACCTTCTAGCAAATTTGTATAGTTTCCGAAAACAAAATTATTCATTGTTCTTTTTTTTTTATTCGAAACTGCCTTGAGGTAATACGTTACGATTAAATTATGGAAAATTATTTGTTTGATGTAATTCATTGATGCAAATTAATCTTATAGGTGTTGTGAAAAATCTTAGTTATGTTTTCATTTCTTATTCTTATGCTTTCTTTTCTTATTCAATAAGGTGCATTGAAAATGTTCTTGTCATTGAACTTTATTCCAGCTGGCAAATGGAAGATGAAGGGTCCCCGAGCCTGAGTACTTCTGTTGGAGCAAACCAAGATTTCACCGAAATCTCTGCTAAATTTAATCGTTCCACTTTCTGAATAAGGCCAAGATATTAATGCACAAGAGTTAAAAAAAACATACTTTTGAGTCCCTGACTCAGCAGAAAGTAGCTTCAAATAAAAAATAACTCTTTTACAAAACATTACGGACATTCTATTTTAGAAAAGCGTTCTTCGAGAATTCACAAACGCATTCTTTTAGAATTTTTACATCGGAACACAAACTTCAGTAGAGAATGCCAGGTTATTAACTCTTAAAACAAAAATATAAATACAGCGATGCGTGCTTTTACCATGCGTGTGAACCCAACAACTTCCAAAAACCCTCCCCTCTCTCGTTGGTCATTTCTTATTCTTTAGTTAAGATTTTAAAATGTTTTAAATCAGTTATTTAAACTTTCAGAATAAATTCTGCATAAGTTCTCGATTCTTAGATTTTTTTCGCTTTGTATAAGTCTTCTATGTTTTGAATCTTGCCTTGAAGATATTAAATGAGCTATGGACGAGTTTTCTGGTTTGTTTACTGCCTGTAATACGTATTTCCGGTGTAATGCTCTAACTCAATGGATCTTCAAAGCAGAAGTCCAACATACAAACAGATAAGGTAAATGTTTTTAATATAAATAAACAAACCAGAAAACTCGTCCATAATCAAAGACAATAATTATTTCAATTTACGAATTGCCAAACAGATTCAAAATTTACAGAGGCGTGGTAAATCCATGTTTATCATGCGAGCAACAAATTAGACCTATTAAACATGATTTAAAATTTGATAAATTAATTTAAGCATATTTATCAAAATATTTAATTTGATTCTTTTCAAAAACTTAGATGCTGATAAAACAAATTGAAGATACATTTTGCTGATAATGCCGAAATGTAATTAATGAACATTTTGGTATTGAGTTTTAAACAATATTCTTCATAAAAGTGAGATTGTATGCAAAAGTGCCAAAAGATGGCGCTACAATACCCAACTTCCGAAAGTTTTTCGAGAGCGAGAGAAGAAAATACATCGCGAGCGAAAACATTTCGAATCGTAAAACTAATCGATAATTACATTACTTCTTTCAGAAGGAGCTTGTCCCTAGGCTGATACTTTCTGCCTGGCGTCTTTAATGGCAAATTAAGTTTGGTGAGGCAATTACAGGCAGCTAATGCAGCTTGTAAATTCCTTTTCTTCTCTCTACTTAAAACACATCCTAGATTGTATTTAGAAGAGCTCTTTTGAGTATCAATCGTTTTAAATAGTAGCATCTAATTCTAATCACCGATGAATCTTTTTTTCCTCGCTCTATCAAATTGGATTAATTCTAATGCAGCGTTCTAAGCTTTTTTCATATCAAAATTCTATTCGAATGAACAGGAATCTGCAATAAAAAGTTTAAGTTCTTCCAATGAACGCTTCTTCAGTTTAAGTACTTCACCTGAAGATGGGAAAAAATATTAAAAACTACTTACTGAATAAAGAACGCTAACGAAGACTACATAATGAAAACCTTGTAATGATAATCCTTCTAATTTTGCTAAAAGTATAGCACCAATAAAAGTTTTACTGACTTGTTGGATTTTATTCTTATTTAAGTAGCTTCTACAAAAAAAGTTATTTAGCTTCATTACTACAAGTAGTGGATGTGGTTGATGA